CAAGACCCAAAAGTTCAGCAAAATACCTAGCTAGCCATACCTCCTACCAGCCCAAGGGAACAGAACATGAACAACAATACTTTCTCACACAAAAATTCAGATGCAAATCACGTAAAGCTGGAAACTTTCTTTGTTTTCTCACTCATGTCGAGCATGTTTATGCGAAATCAGTCCCACTGAGCCCCCATTTACCATCCCAAATCCTCTAATATTATAACTTCCTAACATTGGTAAGATAAGTCCCGACAAATCACTCATCAACCAACTACTATCAACAACAGCCATGTGCGGCAGAAAAGAAAATGCAGCAAAGGCATAAAACTTGCAACAAATTCATACCCTGTCATACGCAACTAGCCACCCTCCCAGAACCTCAATCTAAGCACAGATTTTGGGAAAAGAAAACAACATGAAATAGAACTTTGAGGGAGTGAGTAAAGTTTTGTATACCTAGTCAGCAAAGGAAGCAGCTTTGAAGGTCGGTGGAAGTAGTTTTCCGCGGGTAAAGGCGCTTCAGTTCCCGAGTCTCTTCCTTCTTGTTCACTCTATTCTTCCAGCTTTTCTTTCTATCCGTAACCTCCCTCAATCCTCTCACAGCCCTTTTTCCTCTCCGTTTTCTCGTTCTCTTCTGTCTCTCTGTTTTCTGTTTATGTAGCCGCCAATCTCAGATTCTCTCTCACGGGAGCTCTCTCCTAATACTCTGTTCTATTCTCAGCCGTTAACTGCTCAAAAAAAATCCTTCTTGCGGCTGCGGTTTCTCTTTCTTTTTATACCTAGCTAGCAAACCCCAAAACCCTCCATTCAATGGCTGCAAATCATTTCCACCTAAGCCTTCTCCCTTGGCCTTTCGATTGGCATGCGCGACTCTGTCCTTGCAAGCTGCGAAAGTTCGCAGCTTGCCTGCTGCGGAATTTTTTTTTTTATAGAATTTAACAAAATATAAATAACTAATTAAAAAAAATAACTAATGAAGAAATGCTAATTAAGATAAAAAAACGAAATGCTAATTTTCCTTTCCTTCCCTTTTCTCTCTTTTTTCCTTTTTCCCCTTTTTTTTAAGGTAACTTAACAAAATGGTAATAAAATTAAATGAAAACCAACAATTTAATTAACATCGGATAAAAATGAATAAACTAGAAATAATAAACAGAAAAATTGCAATTTTCATTTTTCATCATTTTTCTTTTTTTTTCTTTTTTTTTTCAAGAAAAATTGAATTTGAATAAAAACAACTAAAGCATATTTTTTGATGCTTTTCTCTTTTTCCTTTTCGAGAAATTCTATGCTAAAACTCCAAAAATAAAATAAAAATAATAACATAAAAATAAACTAAAAACTAAAAACGAAAAAGTGAATACAACTGACACGACAAAAATAAAAAGTAAAAAATAAAAGAAATTACAATAAAAATTTGGTATCTACACTCGAGAGTTTGAATGGTTCTTTCTGATTGACCATCTGCATAGGGATGGTATGTAGTACTAAGGTTTAGTTTGGTTCCTAAAACTTCTTGCAGCTTTTGCCAAAATCAAGACACGATTCGAGGATCCCCGTCTGAGACTATACTCACTGGAACTCTATGCAATCTCACAATTTCATCCATATACAGATGAGCCAACTTTTTCATAGAATATTTCATGTTTACTGGCAAGAAATGAGCCGATTTGATTAATCGGTCGACGATTACCCAAACGGCATCATGACCCCTCCGTATCCGTGGAAAGTCTGAGACAAAGTCCATCGTGATATTTTTTCACTTCTTTTTGAGTATCTCGAGGGGTTGCAACAAACCAGGGATTTTTTATGTTCGGCTTTAACTTGTTGACAGGTGAGACAAATTTGAATGTATTGAGCAATTTCCTTCTTCATGTTATCCCACCAATATAACTCTCTTAAATCCTGATACATCTTACTACTACCCGGATGGATTGTATACTTGGACCGATGAGGTTCCCCTAAAATTTCTTTTTTCAATGTTTCGTCTTTTGGCACCACTACTCGGTTCTGATATCTTAAAATTTTTTTGAAATTTAAATTGAAATCAGGCAATTCCCCTTTTTGTACCGTTTCCATCCACTTTTGTACCACCGAATCTTTCTTCTGAGCCTCTTTGACTTGATCTAGTAGGGTGAATTTCACCGTAATATTTCCAAAAATCACCTTCTGGCGTTTCAGGCGAGAATTTCACTCACTAACTTTTTCTAAATATTCTATTCTTTAATCATTAACCCAACTACCTGAACCTTTCGACTTAAGGCATCTGCTACGATATTAGCCTTCCTAGGATGGTAGTTAATTGTACAATCATAATTTTCTAAAAATTTCAACCATCGACGCTGCCTCATATTCAACTCCTTTTGAGAAAATAAGTATTTAAGATTCTTATGGTCCATATAAATCTCAAAAGTTATCCCATACAAATAAAGTCTTCATTTTTTCAGGACAAAGACAGCAACGGCTAATTTTAAGTCATGGATCGGATAATTTTGCTCATGAGATTTTAAGTCAGCCGGTCTACATCTATGCACATAAACATGCAGGATGAATTATTTCAAGTTCACGAAGGTCGAGTGCATATAAAGGCACATCATCTAGACAAGATCAAGTCACAAATAAGCTCAGTATATCATGTTTTCAAGTATTTCAAGTATTTCAAGTCCAAATACATGTTACTTGTAAATCAAATTGCTGGTACATGCATGAACAAGATATTAAAAATTTAGTCTAGTTAGGTCAAGTGCGATGGAGTACACACTTACCTAAGAAACGACAAATCATGTGCCTAACAATTTTTAGCAATAATGAGCACGAAACATGTAATTAGAATACTCACCACGACAACAAGTTTAAGTGCTTGACACAGGAGCACTTCGGGCCTCACTTTCAAGTTCTAAAATCAAGTATGTAAAGTGAAATGAGATTCACTACTCCAAACTATCATATTCAAAGAAAAATACTTCCAAATCAACCAAATTATCTCAACTCCAATCATAAAAACCAAGGTCAAAATGGTTCTACAACTCCAAATTGAAATTGAAAATGAAAGCAAGAACAACTTTTGAAAAATAAAGTTTTCTCCAGTTTTGCGCAATGCTATTTGAAAAATCATATCTCAAGCATCTTAAGTCCAAAATTTATAAATTTTATACCCTTGGAAAATAGACTCAAAGATTACTATTTCCCAAAAGACACATTTGAAATATTTTATCCACAAATCAGTCAAATTCCAGTCTCAAATTGCTACTTCATCTGGTAGAAACATAGAATAGGTGTGGAAATTCAGTTAATTTTGAAAAATCACAGATATTCATAGGAATTGAAAAAAATTTTAAATTTTCACGGTAGGAAGTACCCTAAATCTAGTTTCAAACACAATAAACAGAAATCAATTCCGACTTTTCTACACCAAGATATAATAGATTCCCAAAACTGCTCAAAGTCTCCTGCGAAAACATTTTCAGCAACACTTCCCCTTATTTTCCCTAATTTTCAGCCATTTTCAAGGCTTCATTCTCACTACAAAACAGCCTCAAATCAAGCATATACATACCAGGTCACAACTCACTAAATCAAGCATATACATAACATATAATGATCACCTACTCAAGCTAGAAAAATTAAACCCTAGGCTGAAATTTTTAACTACAAGCTGAAATTTCCTATAATTATGCCAAAATAACATATAAAAGTTAAAAAATTCACATGGCAAAACTACTAGTTCATAGCCAAACTCAAACCATCATGTCAAGGCTGAAATTTTTCACCAAAAGCTGAAATTTGTCAACCACAAGTTAAACCATGAAATTTTCCAAGTAAACTACCAAAATCTAACTCTAAATCTATTCATATGCAAGTAATAAAAGAAAAGAGGGCCTTTTGATGTACTTACCTTAAAACCCTAAGAAGAAATGGAAACCAAGAGCTTCTCTTTCCCAAATCACTCCACCAAAGCCCTTAATCCTCCCAAAAGGTCACTTTTTATGGTTTAGATTGCAAGTTTATAATAAAAACTCAAGGATTCAAGTTAGATTTGGAGGTTGAAGATGAAGTTTCCTCTCTTTTTTTCTCTCAATATGGATGGCCAAGAAGATGAAAAATAAAGGGTTAGTTTGGTCAAATTTTATGTTTATTAAAGGCTAAGAATAGTCTAAGTTCAAGTCAAAGGTCCATAGCTTTTGTGACACTTGGCTTTCTATGGTTAATCCTCATCCAATTGTTTCCTAATTGCTAAAATATCTTACCAACCTCTAATTATCCTTTAACATCTGATAAAAAAATATTCTTTTGCACAAAACTCCTCCTAATCTTAAAAAATTTAACGCATATACCCATTAGTGGGTCTTACCTCCATAATGCACTTTGAACTTACACTACAACAAAAATGGCCTTTAGCGGCATTTAAAAGTGTCAGTATAGACAATTTAACCTGACATTTTATCTATCCTCACACCTAGGGCGAGTGTTGTCCCTTCCAATGTGGGGATAGCCTCAAATCTTTAGCAACGTTCAAACGTGTCAGGAAAACCATGCTGCTATAGCATTCCCTCTGCCAACAAAAACTTTTTTTTGTGATAATCGAAAGTGTCCATATAGCATTAGAACATCAGTAGCGGATCAGTAGTATATCCAATTTATGAAGGCATCTTTAGTTGTCTTAATATATGACTTTAAGGACACGTAGCCATGTGAATTTACACAACTTTGGACGACATGCCCATTTGTCATTAGTGTTTTTCGAAGTTAAGCTATGCTGACACTTTTAATTGCCAAGAGTTTTTTCCCTGTTTTTTTTATATGGAAGCAACCTGCAATTAGTCCTCCCTGCTGTACATTCCATCAACCAGAATCCCAAGGGACTTATAAAATTATCTCAAAGAGCAGAATGCATATAGCAATTTAAAAGAAGAAGTCGATACTCAAATATAATTCATTGAATTAAAAGTCGATAACAAGTACAAACATAGCAAGTACTAAAATCGCAAACAAGTGCTCAAAGCAAGTACTAAAATCCCAATAAAGTACCGAAAGATTCTCATTTACAATAACTTGAAAGAATTTCTTGTGCACAAACAAAAAGACTCTCATCCCTAACAAGTTGAAAGAAATGCTAAAAGTCAGGTAACGTAATTGTACAATATTAGCAACGATCCGCGAGAGGTATAGTATATATATAGTACATTGTTTGGGCTCATCAAGATGAAACAAACAACTACCACTGCCCATGTTGATGTATGCTCAAGAGTTGTCTCCTCATTTCCACTTCCTTCAGCCATCTCTAGGTGGAGCAGTCCGGCTATGCTTTAGTAGAGGTTAGTGCCAATCCTTCAGAAGAAGAGAAAACAGCCGAGAAATTGAAGGGATGAAGAAAAGTGTATACAGTGATCTGGGGAAACAGAAATTTTTTTTCCAATTCTTGAGCATTTGAGATTGGAAAATGATAGGAAAAAAATTGCAACAATAATAATATAATAACACCCCAGGAAATAGTTTGCGTTCAAGCAATTCAACCTACTAGAAATCATGTCATGCTAGAAATATAGCCTTTGGTCTATCAAATGCGATGGAAAAAATTATAGATATTGGACATAACTATGTACTGCAATTTCCTACTTGACAAGGTGTGTGGGACATGTGTCCAAGTCTCTGCCTCAGCTGGTCCTCACTTAAGTCAGTGCTAAACAAGTCATCATTATTTTTGAAGCCAAATCAATCATTGAAGCAGTTTTGGGGAGCGTAGCATTGTACTCCCAATCACTAACTGGTGCCTGAACAGCCAACATTGTCAACAAGCTGAAACTAAAGCTCGTCGTCCAGGCAACATTACATACAGTAGTGATCACAGTACCAACACTGTCAAGTAATGCACTGAACAAAAGACAGTATGACTAAGCAGATTAATCATTCTCCTTTAAACATCAGATAATATATATTATGTTTGACTAACTACAAGGGGCATTTGTCACGACAAAAGGGACGAGTGTGGATGCAGACACAAAAGTGCACAGATTCAAGAGCTCAGAGGCATGAGAGATTCTTAAATTTCTCTCTTTTATAAAAATGATGGTAGAAGCACCAGTATGATCAGCCAGAACATTGTTCGATACCAAGCATCCCTTAAGCTAAAGAATCATATGCTAGCAAAATTTAATCTTATTTCACACAAACATAACCATAGATGTTGTCCAAGTTCAAAGTTTTAAACTCGTACATCAGATCAAAGCACTTCTTCGAAATCAGATTAAGGGATCATGCAAAATCAGGTCAGAACCTCACCAAAGGCAACCACGACAAGGAGACAAATTAAAGTTTCGATAATTCGAACAAGAGAAGGTTGAGACATATAAAAAGTGGATGAGTTCAAATAACTCACCCTGGCCATGTTAAAAGATGGAAATCTTGAAAATGCTTTGGATAGAACATCATCATTCACCTCATTACCAAGATCACCACAGAACAAACGAGAATCATCTGCACAACACAAACAGTAATACTGAAGGCATTAATACTAGCAAAAACAAGATCAGTGAAGGAATTAAGACAGGCTAAAATTGTCATAAAAAATGATGAATGCAACCACACAAGGAGTAGAGTACATGAAACTCACTCTCTGGCCAATCTGCAAGTGTAGGATCCTCCCATGCCTGCCCTGCTGCCTTACGAGACCTTGTTCAAAGATTTTCCCCTTGACATTACACTCTGCCTTAGTGTAAGATGACCGCTTCCTCGAGGCAAATCAAGTAGTTATGTCAAACATGGAAGTCGAGATCTGGCAAGTACGTACTCCTTTGACTTGTCACCAAACTTAACTTTCCATTATCTTTGAGCAACGCATATGATCATCACTGGGGTAAAAAAAAGCGTGCAACATATGAAATGCTACATAGTTACGTATGAATCCAGAAGAACCTTCCACCATACCAGGTCTGCATTTCAGTTTGGCCACCTAAAATTCATTTTCTATATCTGCCTAATTGATTACTTACTGGTGAACTTTTTGACTCTCTATCATTTGTTAGACTATCCATGTACGTAGGAAAAATGCCTTTCTCAGGTTTCTAGTTGAAATGTCCTTGATGTTAGTTGCATTCGTTTTCAACCGTCATCTTTGTTTTCTTGCAACATTATTGCCAATCAAAATCGTCCAATGGCAACACATCACCTGGGTCAAGATTATGTTTTCTTCCTGGCTTCCCTTCGTCTCTCTCTTGGGGTGTGTATGCATGCCGTTTTCTGGTGGTGGTGGTGGTGGTGGTGGTGGTGTACTATTATCTTGATGCAGATGAAAAAGAGTTTGTACTTTAAAATCTTCAGGAATCGACACTAATGCCAACTTATTTGAAAAACCAAGCCGGAAATTGACAGCAGAAAGCAGTGCCATAATAAACAAATCTACGTATCAAGTTCTGAAGTAAAGCAAAAAAAGAACTCTTGCCCACACATACAAAACCCCTGGGTCACCAAACTTCCACAATAATATCAGGTACCACGCGACAAGTTTCCCCAATATTTTATTTGGCCCACCTTTGCACCCTAAAATTTGTGAAATCCCCTTCACCTTCTACATTGCCCCCCCTCCCTCTTTTCTAAAAACTAAAATCTCCACCACTATCATATCAACTTAAGTAAATAATCACACCTCAACAATAAAGAAGGTCAATAATTTTAGAAGAAAAACATTAACCTAAAGTTCTTCTAATGCCTAAATTCAACTTCCTAAATCAATTTAGGAAGTTCTTCCTAAATGAATTAAGCCATATATATAAATGAACAGACCGGGTATTTTACCGAAAAATTGGACTTCCCGGTTCCTCCACTCACATAGACAACAATGGTATACATATCTCGACTCCTACCAATAATTAAAAAGATCAATTGTTTCTCATCATAGCTGTTGACAAGGGAATTCAAATGTCAGGGGAAGAGGAAAAAGAGCCGAAATCACTGCCCTAAATCTCTCCAAAAGTATTCCATCCAAAATTCATATAAAAAAACAACGTGGCTTAATGATTGGATATAGAAAAGTTCGTACCTATTGATACTGAGGGAGGGAGTACACGGTAGGGACTGTAGCGGGAGCAGGATAAACGTGGGGAACCGCAGGAGGAAGAGCAGGAAATTGCAGAATTGAAGCGGCAGGGGCAGCAGCCACATAGGTTTGCGGCTGTTGTAGGTGAAACGGAGTCGGAAAGTACGTGCCGGTAGTGTAGGTGAATTGAGATGACGCCGTTGAGGATGAAGAAGAAGCTGCAGCAGCCGATGTCGACGACATAGCGAAACCGCGAGATTTGAGAAGCGGGACCAAAAATTAGGGCTTCATTGTTTTTGGAGAATTCGAACTCGTCCTTTTCAATGTCATGTTGTTCCATTTTCTGGTTTTGACGAACCTAAACCTGATAATGAGAGGGAAAGAGTAGGGGCGACGGGACGGCAGAGGTAGGGAGCAGAGGAGAGGAAAGTGTCCGAGAGAGGCAGAGGGCAAAAATTTAGGCAACCGAGAGAAATCAATTTAGGGCAAAAATTTATCATGGAATTACATCCCTTCAATGGGAAAGCAAGGGTAGTTTGATTGCGGAGAGATTCAATAGGAAAAACTTTGTGGGAAAGCAAAATTTTGGCCAAGAGTTTTGAGAGACAGTTTGCCGAGAGAGAGACTTTGTGCGAGAGATAAAGAAGAAGCAAAATTTCACTGGGAGGCAAAATGAAGTTTTGAGATTTCACTAAGTGTTTTGGCAAAGGAATCTTCCGCCAAAATCCAACGACGTCGTTTTGTGTTTTAATTTTTTTTGATGTATCTCACATTTTCGTAAGTGTCATAATAGGGAGTCTAAAGGTACATTATTATTTTTATATCAAATAAAATAAAAAAAATTAGAGTATATATTATTGAGTTGATAATTAGTGTCATGATAGAAGTTTTATAATGGCACAAACCAGCAAGTGTCCTTATAGATATGTCAGGAAAGACCATTTTTGTTGTAGTGTTAACATGTACTAACTTATACATGGAAAATGATTTAAAACGTAACTCACTTGTAAAAATATTTAGAAATTAAGATAATAAAATGAAGTAAGGAAATTGTATTCAAAATAAAGAAATTTTTTGGATCCTCGCACTCTCTTCCCCTTAAAAGAATTTTGTTCTCGAAATTCTCTCCTTTGCTCATAAAACTCAATTCTACAGGGTTTTCCTCTACTTCTCAAGAACTTCTCTCAAAATTTCTTTTTTCAACGTTTCATCTTTTGGCACCACTATTCGGTTCTGATATTTCAAAATTTCCTTGGGACTTAAATTGAAATCAAGCAATTCTCCTTTTTGCACCTTTTCCATCTACTTTTGTACCATCGAATCTTTCTTCTGAGTCTCTTTGATTCGATCTAATAGAGTCGATTTCACCGTAATATTTCCAAAAATCACCTTCTGGCATTCCAGGCAAGGATTTCACTCACTAACTTTTTCTAACGTATCACATTCTTTAATCATTAACCCAACCACCTGAGCCTTTCGACTTAAGGCATCTATTACAACATTAGCCTTCTCAGGATGGTAGTTAATCGTACAATCATAATCTTCTAAAAATTTCATCCATCGGCGCTGTCTCATGTTTAACTCCTTTTGAGAAAATAAATACTTAACTCTTATGATCCTTATAAACCTCAAAAGTTACCCCATACAAATAATGTCTCCACTTTTTCAGGGCAAAGACAACAGCTGCTAGTTTTAAGTCATGGGTCGGATAATTTTGCTCATCAGGTTTAACTTCCTAGAAAAAAAAAGGCAATCACATTCTTATTTTGCATTAACACACACCTCAATCCTTCCCTCGAGGCATCGGTATATACAGTGAAACTGTCCTTTCCATTGGGTAGAATTAGAACTGGTGTCATAGTTAACATTTTCTTTAATTCTTGAAAACTAGTTTCACATCTAGTGTCCCATATAAAATGGCCATGCTTTTTCGTCAAATTGGTTAAAAAACTGGCAAGTTTTGAGAAATCTTTAATAAATTGGCGATAATACCCTGCCAACCCTAAGAAGCTACGAATTTTAGTGAAATTTTTTTGCCGCTTTCATTCAGTTACTGCCTCTACTTTCGCCGGATCTATGGTGATACCATCTTTTGAAATCACATGCCCTAGAAAAGAGATTTTTTCCAACCAAAACTCACATTTGCTGAACTTAACATATAACTGGTGTTCTCTTAAGATCTGCAATACAATTCTCAAATGCTGCACATGCTCCTCACGAGTTTTCGAGTAGACCAGGATGTTATCGATAAACACAACTATAAATCGATCTAAATAGGGTTTAAAAACTCGATGCATCAAATCTATAAACGTGACAGGGCATTGGTCAATCCAAATGGCATGATTTCAAACTCAAAATGTCTATATTTAGAATTAAATGCAATTTTTGGTACATCTTCCTTCCTAATTCGCAGTTAATAATACCCCTATCGAAGGTATAATTTCGAGAATACCACTACTCCTTGCAACTGGTCAAATAATTCATCAATATATGGCAGAGGATATTTGTTCTTAATTGTCATATTGTTCAACCTCCGGTAGTCTATACATAGTTTTAAACTTCCATCTTTCTTCTTAACAAAGAGTACTGGTGCTCCTATGGAGATCTGTTTTTTCGAATAAACCCTCGCTCCAATAAATCTTGCAACTACAACTTCAATTCCTTAAGTTCGGCAGGTGCCGTCCAATATAGGGTTTTAGAAATAGGTGATGTCCCCGATAACAAGTCAATCTTAAATTCTATCTTTCTTTACGGAGGTAAAGTCACTAACTCATCAGGGAACACATCCGGATATTTCTTTACCACCGGTATATCTTCTACCTTCAACTTATCAGTTGGAGTATTTATTAGAAAAGTTAGGAAACCCTGCGCTCCTTTACTCAATAATTTTCTAACTCGAATCCCCGAAATTAGTGCAGATGAGGCTAATCTACCCCTTACATCTAGCCTTAAAGTCGCCTCCACAGATATGCTAAATTTTACCACTTTTCTCTTACAATCTAGTTGAGTATCATATCGAACGAACCAATCCATACCCAAGATGACATCGTACCTCTTAATGACTAAGTTTATTAGATCCCCCGATAGTTTTCTCTCTCCAACCCAAATTTCGCAATTCTTATAAAAACATACCGGTGATCAAACGTTGGTCACCCTAGGAGTACTAACTTCTAAGTCATATGGCAATCTAGTAGGTTTCACATCAATTTTACACATAAAATTGGGGTTGACAAAGGAATGGATAGCACCAGAATCTATTAAAATCTTAACTAAATGGTAGAATACAGGGATCATATCTTCTACGACCTCAGATGAATCGGGGCCTGATGTTGCTCTACCGCGTACACCCGAGCTAGCACGTTTGGTCTAATCCCTTCCACTTTTGACTGTCCAGGGTTTGTCTTAGTTGACTGCTGGGTCTCACTTTCTTCTCGAGGTGAAACTGGATAATTGGCAATCTGATGCTCGACACTTCCACAGCGCAAGCATTTTTTTTCCTCCAACAATTGCCTTCTATGTGATTCGGCTTCCCACAATATCCATAGGAAATTCGGGGAGCTGATGCCGAACCTCCTTGTGAGGCACCTCTCTGTTGTTCTCGCCCGACTTGACTTCCTCTTGATGGGGCTCTTGTTGGCATCCCCGATAGTCTTATTTCGCCAGTCCCCCTTCCAAACTTGGGAGGTACATTCTTATCCCCTTATCCCGAGCTACTACCGAGCAAACTCCGTTTCTTCGCTTGAAAGGTTCTAACTTATAGTCTCGCACTCTCGACCCGTTGGATTTTCTTCACCGGATCACTAAATGTATTCATTTGGGCTACCGCTAAATCTTTTTGAATCTCAACATTCAACCCTTGAAGAAATCGTCTTATTCGCCTTTGCTCGGTCACGATTAGTTCAGGAGCAAACTTAAATAATCTAGTAAATTGACTTTCATACTCAATTACAGTTTGAGCTCCTTGGCGAAACCTAATAAACTTATACTCTTTTTTCTCCTGAATCAGAGGCGGAAAATATTTTGCATTAAACTCCCTCATGAAGTTTACCCAAGTTCTCGAGATTTGTTCTCTTTCCCATTTCATGCGTAATATATTCCACCAAGAACAAGCTGCTCCCTCCAACTGGAAGACAGTAAAAGTCACCTGTCCATCCTCAGTACAATGCAGAGCGGCCAAAATATCAATCATTTTCTCCAGCCACCTCTCAGCCACATCAGGGTCTAGTCCTCCAAAAAATTTTGGTGAGGATGAACTTTTGAAATCATTCGAGGGCTCTGTCCTCACCCTCCACATGATTATCAGGGTTTTCAGGTTGATTAACAGGGTTTTGGCCCTGATGATCCACTATATGGGTTAAAAGATCGGTCATGCGCTGGATAGTTGTGACTTCTTGGGTATTAGGATCGACCCCTAGCTCATGATTCTGTTCAGGTACTGGTTCGTAATTACCCTCTTCATTCAAGGGTTGTCTAAGTCCGTGCCCATGACCTCGTCCACTACGTCTACCGTCAATTTGTTTTTAACCAATCTAAGGTCGAAGTGTGAATACAATATTAAAGATATATAAATGCATGGACAAGTCACAAGAAGTATAAACAAGGCAAAAGTCAAATATATTTAACTCAACTTTATCATATATGTCATACAGTAATAGTCAGAGATACAAGCAAAAGCAATCTCATTAAAAGTAGCGAGGCCATAACAAAAGTACAATGCACAAAAACTATGCCAAAAGTACAAAAACATCCAGTTAGGAGCTTTCCTAAACCCCACACATGGTATCAAAACATGGTTCAAAGGAGCTCTAACCTAGTTGCCAACCGAGCTAACAGACTCTCTCTCATGAATAGAACTAGGTGTGTCTCTCTCTCTAAGGGCTCCATTGCCCTGAACCTCCACAGGTGCGTTAGCGCCAATCACCCCCTGGATTAGCGCTTCATACTCGTCAATAATACCTCCAGAGTGATCCCTAACCTCTCTGACCACCCTAGTGAGGCGGTCATTAGCTACCTGTAACTGTTCTTTAAGAGCATTTGTCCTCTCCTGCTCCATCGTTATGTCCTCCTGGAGCTCCCGAATCCTGTCCGCTTTCATTCTCATGATACCCCTCATCCTTACCATCTCAGTTTGGTCCCTAGTATTGGCACGCCTAAGCCTCCTCCTCTCGTCTAGTACTACCAAGACCACATGATCATCAAAGCGGTACTCCAATGTTGGATCAGTCCTCCTGGTCTTTTCTCAT